AACATGATTTTTATAAATATCATAATTTATGTTTAAATATTTATTATTTATTAATTAATAACAGCTGTTTTTTTTTTACAAAGCAGTTATTTCATTAGATTATGTTAGACTTCAGTTGTGATTTAAAATTGACAAAACTATTGTTTTTTTCGTCGGTTAACCTCCAAAATGACAATTATCGCTTTAAAAAATGCATTATAATTTGATGGGAATATAGACCAACGAACCGTGTTTAACATAACGTTACTCTGCAAGTTCTGTTTGAAATCGTAGCGGTCGGGAACGTTGCCGTTACTCACACCTTTTCTTCCTACAAAACAGTAGCTATGCCGAAAAAAAAAAAAAAAATAGTCATTTAAATTACAGTTTTTGTTTCTGACATAATTTTTCCGAGCAAACTAAACACTATGGTTAATATTGATAAGTACTCATTACAATATTATTACACACGTTCGTGTATACTATCTGTTGCGACCCGTACTAGTAGTGCATCCGTTGGTCGTCACTGTCTAAAACCGCACGGCCGTGTAGCAGTTGAGCCTCCGCCAGTCATCGCGCACGTGTCGTTCACGTTAGGTCGGTGTGTCTTGTTTGGTTTCGCTGGTGAAATTTGTACCGTTTTTTGTTCTTCGCGATGTTACTGTTGGAGATAATCGTCTAAAGTCAATACCGTGTATGCTTTTTTTAGTGTTGTGTTTTTATTTTCGCAGTAGTCATGGGAAAAACGATAGCGATTAATGCGGACGATAAAATGATGTCGGCGAAAGGTATCAATCAAAGACTACGACTTAGTTATGATTTTTCTCTCACGTTAAAACAACGGTTGAAAACCCATTTCAATATTGACCATACTAAACAGGTTTTTTCGTGCGAACCTATTGTAATAAATATATTGATCATTTGTTATATTTTAATGCGCTGCTGTGATATAAATATCGTTCGAAGGTTTTTAAATACTTTGATAGTTGTACGTGCGTTCATTTAGCACGTAAATTTCATCTAAAGTGAACTCATTATTAGTTATTAGTTGAAAAAAATAATAACTTTTCATTTTTATTCGCTTGACTTTATTTAAAATATAACTGGTTAATCAAATATGTTATTATCAAGTTTTGTAAAAAAAATAATAACCTATTAAATATAAACAGTTTCTTACAAAATTATAATTTCACTTTTTAAAATGTTACTACTTTGGTAGGTTTCATATAAACGTTATTCAATGTTTTTTTTATGCAATAGCATTCAAAAATGAGTAATTAATGCTGTGTTATAGAAAATATTGGAACTGAACTAGTTACTGAAACTCAATAATTTCTTGTTTCTTGGAACAATTGCATTGTACAGTATTAGTTTGTTTTCTATTTTAGTGATTTTCATGACTGAAACATTAGTGTTATCAGTAATTTGGCTAGTTTTCAGTTTGTGATTCCTGGGTACTATTCCATTATCATTGTAGGAGATAGTAGTGAAAACCATAATTATCACGAATAATAATTAGTATGAAAATGTGTACAGATAACACGACTGAACACTAAACATATGTAATGGGGTATGCATTATGTATATGTGCATATTGTGTGCTTTATTTATAACTAAATTGCATATGTTTTAACGTAGTAAACATACTTATTAAAAGATAATAAATAAAATATAGTTTCTCGGTTTAGATACAAATGTTTCTAGACTTTTTTCATGTTTTCAAAATTAATTACAGGTTTTATAAATGAATTGGATTTATAGAAGTAAAAANTTTTTTAAATGAATTGGATTTATAGAAGTAAAAACGTTAAAACATTTATAAAATAAATATTTATCTGAGGTAAACTAAAAAATAACGTTTAATTTGTTTTTCCAGTACGGTTTTAATTTCTTATGAGAGTTTTGTCTTTCAAGTAGACTTGCTACATTTAACGTTTTGTTTGTTATTAAAAAAAACTAAACTATTCACTTACAATCTTTTCGTATTTTCATCTGGAATTAAAATAAGATGTGATAAGCTTGATAATTGTTAGTATATACTTAATTCCTTATAAGAATTTCTCTGAAAATCCTTGGCCTTCGTAAANATTTCTCTGAAAATCCTTGGCCGTCGTAACCACTAATCAGGAGATAATTTCTTTGAACACAATGTGTTTCAATTAAATGTTCTATTTATATTTTGTTGGAATAATTAATATTGAAAATAAAAATATTTTCTAACACCAAATTTTTCTACTAAGTTTTAAAAAACTATACTATGAAATTTACACCTAGGCATGTAACAAGTCGAAGTAAGTTATTTTGTTTAAAAATGTATATAATACAAAAATAATATGCAAGGTCGTAAAGAAAATTGATTTTCTCTTGTCAAGTATTGCGTTTATTTCCTGATATTTGAAATTTATTTGCGGGGTAGTAATGCCTAAATACGAGCTACCTTGAATCTTTATGGTGTGTTAATTGTTCAAAAAATAGGGTAATAATCGTCTAAAACACCATGTCATTAGGAAATGTCAGTAATATTGTGATAAATATAATGGATCTGAAGGTTACAATAAGTTTTACAACATGTTTTATTTTTATATAACATATAAGACCGTAAAACAACTATTGGTTTCGTTTTTGTATTACTGAAGCTGTTAAAATATGTTATTTTAAGACATTTGAATCTATTTCTGTAAATAATTCAAACGTTTTAATGAAAAAATTAACTTTATTCGTATTTAATTTTTTCCTCGTGAAGTTAAATCGTTAAAACTGCGCGCTATATTACCTCGCTAGATATAAGCAATTTGCAAGTTTCCTATTGGCATATATTAATAATGTCTATGTTAATTATAGTCCCTATATTCGTCAGAGGTAAACTTAATGTTGGACTATCATGAAATTATTCAAATGAATTTATGAAGAATTACTTAAAATTTACATAAACGCCTATAGTTCTTTGTTACTGATCTACAAGTCGTATAGAAAGTATAAGGCTGGCTTGCAAATTGTATAATAAAATACATTATAAAACATTCTGCAGTAGATATTTTATTACACTAGGAGAAAGCATGTCGTCCGTTGGTTTTGTAATGATAGTCAATTGTCGCACTCGAATTCTTTGGGAATGGTTTTCGATAGTCTGTCTTTTTCAACAAGATTTAAAGTGTACCAGATTTAAAACATGTGTGTCTGCTTCTCTTTTAGAAAAATTCGTCTGACATTCAAACATTCAAGTCGACATCAGTAGAAGAACTGTGTAGCATTTCACAGTGAACAGTCAACTTTTATTTTTAGTCAACAGAGAGAGATAAATCAGTGCCCTTAAAAAATAGCAGCAACTCTGTGTAAAATAATTTATGAAAAAAATTGTATATTAACAAAGCAAAAGACGTTGTATTTTAACGTAAAGTTTAGATTTTTATTGGACACGCCCTGTCTATATTTCAAAAAAGTATTTTTAAATGACATAAAAGTAATTGTTAGCGAATGTTATTAATAGCCATTAACGACAGCTGATAATAATATTACTATGTCTTCCAAGTTTAATAATTACAAAAGAAGACCCTCGATTTTACTTGCGATTTCATCACCGTGAGTCATATGGCGACGGAATAACAACGGATGGTTTCCCTTAGAGCGTGTAGTTGATTGATTCCGTTTATGGTTTATTCTTTGTCTCCCTATTTTTCGTTAAAAATAAATTTCTGTTGGTCTTCAGCTGTACGCTAACCCGCCATACATTGTGTTACACCCGGACTATGGTTTTTTCTCCCTGGTCTTACAAAGAAGGGTTCTTACGAATGATTAATTATATTGAACGTATAAGTGCAAAGCCATCTACACTTAAACGCGAAACCTATTTATACTCGCGGGTTCTTTCACCTATGCAGAAATGTTTTTTAAAGTCTGACGGCCGTTTTTTCAACACCAACGCAAACGCAGCTTGGCCTGTCGAGCTAGCACGCTTCTAGCCTTTGGTCTGTTTTCGATGTGTTCTCTTCCGCTGTTGACGACCTCACGCGCAGAGACACACATTTAGTCATCAGTTACGGTTAAATATAGTCTTGATGTTTACTTAAAGTCGTTCAAAGACGAGACTGGCCTGTACCTCCGCGTCGTCGTATGTACACGCCGTTTGCTGTGACGACATGACTTATAATAATAGCACCTACCGTGTAATAGTTTACTTTGTGTATCAATCAGTTCCATAGTGTTACTTTATTATACCGTAACGTAGGTCAAATAATTCGCGAATCAGTAGCCCATTACACAACCGAGTGTGGCGTTAAAAAAATATACACTTCTTATTTTGTTGCAACTAGTGTAACCTGATTTTTATGTCTTGTGTTATTGTTTTTATTTTTTCAACGGGCCTATTGTATACGATTTAATTTACTTTGCCGTCCTAAACGCACAGTCGTTGACGGCACACGTTGGATTTGACGCAACCTAATAAAATCTGCGCCCATGTTGAATGGTCAATTGTTTGTAAACAATGAATTATATTTATTAAAATTAACTGGTTGCGGCGAACTAATGGCCTCGGTTCAAGTCGAAAGTGTCGGCGGGAATGTATTAGAAATGTGCACTAGCATTGACGACCTAGGCAGCCGTACCGTTTAACGCTTTGCCGGATCTTCTATGCACAAGTACTATTATTTTAACCCATCCGAAATACTCCTCCCCTTGCCATAGCCCCGTCGTC